ATTGATTTCTACCATTTTTCGATTCCTTTCCTCCGCGTCGACCTCAAAGATCGGACCTCCTAATTTAAGAAAGTCAGAATTATTGATTACGTATCGGATAATGGGGAATTGGCATGAATTTCGGTGAAATCACAAGTCACCATCCACATTCGTTAGAAAACCAAAGTAATGAGTGTATCTCTCAAATTATGTGATCGAAATGTCTACCTAGCGACTCAAACGAGTTCAACTTGTCGATATACAAGGGCTTGGAAGGCTCGTGACTGCTCAAACTCGTGTTTATTGACAGAACGACACAAGTGTCGTTTAACAACACTTGTGTCGTTCTGTTGATTTCTCCCATTTTTTGCTTCATTTCCTACGCGTCAAACTCAAAGATTGGACATCCTAACTTTAGAAAGTCAGAATTATTGATTACGTGACGGATAACGGGAGAATTGGTATGGATTTCAGTGAAATCACAAGTCACCATCCACATTCGTTAGAAAATCAAAGTTATGAAGGTATCTCCCAAATTATGTGAGCGACATGTCCATCTCGGGACTCAAATGAATTCAACTTCTCGAATATAGGGGGCCCGAAAACCTCGTGGCTGTTCAAACTCGTGTTTATTGACAGAACGACACTTATGTCGTTCTGTTGATTTATCCCATTTTTCGCTTCATTTCCTCCGCGTCGACCTCAAAGATCGGACCTTCTATTGAAAAATATTTATTTTATGCTTATATTGAAAAAATAAAAATCTGAATTTTTTTTTGAAATTCGGTTTGGTAAGTGAATATACGGTGTTCTGCACTCTCGATATTTGTAAGTGCAAAAATCGTTATATAAAAATACACTGCAAATACGGTAGGCAGCATATACGGTAAGTTGCAAATACCGTAGGCAACATATATGGTAAGGTGAAAATATGGTAAGTTGTTTGCAAATATGGTAAGATGTAAATACGGTAGGCAGCGTATACGGTAAGATAAAAATACGGTAATGTAAAAATACGGTAAGTTGTTTGCAAATACGGTAGGCTGCAAATACGGTAAGTTGTTTGCAAATACGGTAGACTGTAAATACGGTAAATTGCAAATACAGTAAGTTGTTTACAAATACGGTATGCTACAAATACGGTAGGCAACATATACGGTAAACTGCATTTATGGATTTATAATTTGTTATAAATGTATAAAATTTAAAAATATAATCTTCACATTCAATTCAATCATATCAACACTATCAAAGAATACAAACA